TCCTGAAACACTTTGTTGATATTTTAAGCTGTCTGCGCTGCATTGGTTCCACGACAGAATTCACATTCGAAAATAACACGGATTTTTGACTTATCCATGGTTTCACAAAAATTGCTCTAAAAAAAATTTGAAAGATAATCACAAGCCAAACCGTGCTTTTGAAAGACTGAGGCTGAGGCCGGGCATGGTGGCTCACGCCTGTAATCCTAGCTCTCTGGGAGGCCGAGGCGGGCGGATTGTTTGAGCTCAGGAGTTCGAAACCACCCTGAGCAAGAGCGAGATCCTGTCTCTACTAAAATTAGAAAGAAATTAATTGGACAACTAAAAATATATAGAAAAAAATTAGCCGGGCCTGGTGGCGCATGCCTGTAGTCCCAGCTACCCGGGAGGCTGAGGCAGGAGGATCATTTGAGCCCAGGAGTTTGAGGTTGCTGTGAGCTAGGCTGACGCCACGGCACTCTAGCCCGGGCAGCAGAGCGAGACTCTGTCTCAAAAAAAAAAAATAAAAAAAGAAAGAAAGACTGAGGCTGTACCATCACAATAAAAATAAAACAAAAAATGTCAAAGTGAAATGTCAGAGATATCAACTGTCTTAGTACATAAGGAAATTGGACATTTCATACCTAATAACCTAATAAATGGATAGATTGGGGCAACTAACCTAGCAGAACCAAAGAAAATAAATGTAAGCCTGTAGAGGAGAGAGCCAAAAAGAAACAAACCAATTTTAGCTTGTAAAATCCTTGAAAGGCTCAGGATTAAAGGCAGCAGGGGTCTCTGAAGGCATGCATGTAAAGTGAGGCTAAATAGAGGAGGTTAGGATGAAAGTCGTAAGGCGAATGGTTCTCTCTCCCCTGCCCTGGAGTAAGGAGGTGACCACTGCCCTTCCATCCATGCAGAAGACTGGAGGTTTACTCTCTGAGTATTTTTAGATCGCAGAGGCTCAGGACTTAGGGACACTTGGCACAGCTGATTGGGGAGATGATGTGCCATTATTATTATTACCATCTTTGATGTAGTAGCTGAAATATTGTTAAAATTTGTATGAAACTCAATATTATCACATAGATTAAATATTCTGAGTAGGACTCAAGAAATAAATCTGAAAATTGGTAGTATGTCTTAATAGATGCCAGAGTAATGGAGATTTGAAATTCTCTCATTTAAGATCTCATAAGTAATGAGGAAAAGTAGCTATGTACTTCTTTAATTGGTTAGTTGGTTTACACTGGTAACTAAAGTATAAAATAGTTATAAAGACTATATGCCTCAAGAGAAAAGTGAAAAGGAATTTAGAGATTAAAAATTTTCAGGCAAAATCAGTAAATAAAATGAAATTTCATATGAAACTATGCTATATAATGAAGTGAGAAGAAAACTAAAATGTTCCCTCAATTTCAATGACTTCTCTATTACACTTGAGCCACCCACTTCCATGGCCAAACCGTGGATATTGCCATCATCTAGGATTGTGCCACTCTGAAATCTTAAATTCAGATGTTGCGTTCTCAGCGTATAACCTTATTCAACATTTATTATTTTAAATAATTTTCATAATTATGTGAAATAATTTCAAATTTACAGAAAAATTGCAAGAATAGTATGTACAGAGAATTCCCACATTTCCTTTATCCAAATTCTTTAATTTTAACCTTTTGCCACAGTTTTTAATCATTCTTTTTTTCTACTTCTTTATATAACTATATATATTTATCAGTTTTCCCCTTGAACTTGTTGAGAGTATGTTACATACAATCATCCACTTCATCCCTTAGTACTTTGGTGTGTATTTCCTAAGAACAAAGATAGTCTCTTATGTGAAGTGTCTATGTACTTTACCATAGATAATATATTTTTATTTAGAATTACAGTCTATATTCCAATTTTGTCAATTGTCCCAATTGTCAATAATGTCTTTCACAGCATTTCTCCCTCTAATACAGGTTTCAGTCCAGCATCATGTATTGCATTTAGGCGTCATGTCTGTATAGTCTTTAATCTAGAGCAGTACTTTAGTCTTTCTTTGTCTTTCATGACATTTAACATCAATTCAAAAAGGGTTTAGATCACCTGTACAAATTCATGATCTCATACCTCTCATTTCCTCACCTCTCCATTCACTCTGTAAACCTCTTATTATATCACAGAGAAAATATAAGCCATAAAATACAAACTCCCTCAATTTCCTGACACGTACACATTTATCTGTATCTACTGGATTATTGCAAAAGCCTCTTAACTGGTCTACTTGTTTTCATTTATCATGCTGAAAATATGGTTATCTGGTTATGAATTCTCTACCTAAAACCCTTTAATGTTTTCCCATTTCCCTTAGAATAGTCCAAACTCTTAACAAAATAAACTAGGATATCTTATTTCTCCAGGACATTTTTTTCTGATCACATGTTTAATATCACCTTCCATGCATTCTATTCTTCTTATTAGTGAACAATTTACTTCTTGTTCCCATAACGAAAGTGCTAGCCTGTGCACATATTGTTTCCTCATCCTGCGTTTCATTTAGTATTGCTTAATGGTTAAGAACATGGAATCTATAGTAAATCCTCCTGTTCAGATTCTAGCTCTGCTACTTTAACAGCTGGATAACTTTAGGTGAGCTACCTAACTGTTACAGTTTCTTCACATGTCAGATGAGGAGTATAGCAGAATCTGTCTCATATCGTGGTAAAGCACGTAGCAGAGAACTTCATGTGTATTAGGGGCTCTGTAAATGTTATCAATCATTACTTTTTGTGTTAGATACCGTGCTAGATATTGTGGAATAAAACAGATTTGGGCCCTGCCCTCTTAGAGATTACTTACTCTAGAGGAGAGAGCCATTACAAATTTTCATAACTATTTATTCGGAGTTCGAGAAGAGAACATCTGATTTAATTTTTTCTTGCTTCAGTGGCTTTGAGCGTGGCATTCCCTCTGCTGAAAACCTACTAGTTTTTGGCAGAGCACACTGCATGTTCAAGAGCTTGAAGCAAGAAAGAAACATGGCTCATGAGAGGAATTGAGTGAGGAGGGCCAGTGTGGCTGGAAAGGAAAGGTTAGAGTTGGAAGAGCCGTATGAAATGAGGTTGGGGGGCCGACCTCTATCTAAGAGCAAGAGGAGGCCATCAAAGCTTTTTAAACAAGGAGATAATACAATTCATTTTATGTCTTTAAGAGGTCACTTGGCTGGGTACGATGGTGAACACCTGTAGTCCCAGCTATTTGGGAGGCTTAGGCAGGAGAATCACTTCAGGCCAGGAGTTTGAGGCTACAATGTGTGATGATCGTACCTGCGAATAGCTATTGCATGCCAGCCTGGGCAACGTAGTGAGACCCTGTCTCAAGAAAAAAAGGGAGGGGGGTCGCTTGGTTGCACTGTGGAAGACTGGAGCAGGATGCAAACAAATGATTATGGTGGTGTCTTAGATTAGGTGGCAGCAGAGGAAATGACAGAGAAGGTTTTAGAGTCTAGAGATTCTACACTTTTTTTGTGACTAGATGTGGGGATTGGGAGGAGAGAGTTAGGGATGAATTAACACTAGCAGTCCAGCTTCCGACTCTTTCTTCTGGTCTTTATCTAAGTCCCATCCTCAAGCCTGAGGTGAATGCTACTCTTGTGCTTCTATAGTACTGTCTGCATACCTCACTGACTTTTTGCCCTGATCTGTTATAATTTACTATAGCTGGTCTGTTCTCCTTTTAATTTAAAACATATTTATAATAGATGATCAATTAACATTTGATAAATGAAAGCACAAATTAATGTACAACTAGTTGATGACCGAATATAGTATTTCATTTTAAGCCTAGTGTTTTGGTGGTGTATTGTCTTTGGATCAAGTTGTTTATGGAATACGAATACACTAAGAACTACCCCTCTCCCTCAAAATATAGACAAGAATTAGGTTCTTGACTATTTTTTTTAATAGCATATGTCTGGAATACCATGTTGGCATTACTTGGGTCAAACAGAACAATAACATTTGTTTGTACTTCCAGTTAATTAACCCTGAGGGCATTTCTTTATCTTCTTTGTTGTATGTTTTAAACAGTTCTCATGGTAAATATTCCTCTAGGGGCTTATTATTTTATCTTAATTTCTGTAGGTGGGGTTTTGAGCACCTAGTTAAATGTTTATGTATACAGATATCCTCACTTTAGAAAAAACTCAGCTGCACTATTTGAAAACTTCTCTTATATCCTTAGGTGATTTCACTTTTATTTTGGTTATGACTTCTCCTTGTGTATTTATTATCATTAATTTCTTCTTTTGAAGTTAAGTTTTTTTCCTTTCTATGGTTGGATTTTAACTTAGTACAATACACAGTTTTTAGCCTTCTTAGCATTTATGTTGCCGAAAAGCAAATACAATGTGAAATTGTTGGCTTTGGTGTACCTAATAATACCTAATATGGAATTAGAGAGAAAGGGAATTTTATTTTTTTTAATAGACAAGGTCTTGTGGGCTTAAGCAATCCTCCCACCTCAGCCTCCCAAGTAGCTAGAAAATTGTTCTATAATGGTATAACTTACGTCAACTGTGATTTCATCAATTAAAAGACATTTTATTATTATGTTGACCTATTAATTTAGTTATGTTTATTTATTTTATAATAAGCAACTCTGCTATATATTTTTTGTGGCCTAGTAGAGTAGAAACAACTAAAAATAAGATGAGGAATATATTTTTAAAGGAGTATGAAATATACAATTTTATTGACTATTTTAGAAAAGATGATTTATATATCTATCCCAATATAAAAATTATAGTAATTACCAGTTCAAAAATATTATTAGTGAAATGTCAGCAGATTCCAGTACAGTAACTTCATGAAAGCTAATGCTGTAACACTGAGTGTGACATTAGACTTTTATTTTCTCTTTCTGTATATGCTTCATGTGAGTGAGTAAAAGTTATATTCTCTCAATCAAATCTATATAACTTAACTTCCCTGAGATACTAAGCCACTTCCCCAAATCAGAGAAAATTAGTAATGATAATGGGTAAGTTTTATTGACGATTGCTATAGTTTAGGTAGTATCCCTCAAAACAACCTTGTCAGATACTCTTGATATTGTCCTTTTTACAGAGGATAAAAATTGACCATCTGAGCAGTTAAGTAACTTGTCCAAAAGATTACAGAGCTAGTAAGTGATGAATCTGATCTTTGAACCCAGGTGGTCTGGTTCCAGAGTCTGTGATCTTAACCATCACACTGTATTGCAACCTAGAAATGGTGGCAAAATTTGTTCAAAGATGTTAAAGTAATCATTAAAATTAACTGAAGTCTATAATTAATCCAGACTTTCTAAATTTTTACCTAATGCTCTTTTTCTCTTCCAGGAGCCCATTAAGGATACCACATTATATTTAGTTGTCATGTCTCCTTAGGCTCCTCTTGGCTGTGACAGTTTCTTAGACTTTCCTTGTTTTTGATAACCTCCTCAACAGTTTTGCATACTGTTCAAAATGCCCCTCTGTTAGAATTTGATGTTTATCTCATGACCAGACTGGTAGAATGGGATTTTAGGAGGAAGACCACAGAGGTCAAGCGCCGTTTTCATCACATCATATCAAGCATATATACTATCAATATAGTTTATCACTGTTGATGTTAACCTTGATCACCTGGCTAAGGTAGTGCTTGTCAGGTTTCTCTGACAAATAGGTATTCTGTTTCCCCATTCCATACTGTCGTCTTTGGAAGGAAGTCATTATGTGCAGCCCACGCTTAAGGAGTGTGGAATTATGTTCCCACTCCTTGAGGGTGGAACATCTACACGAATTATTTGGAATTCTTCTGCACAGGAGGTTTGTCTCTTCTCTCCTATTTATTTGTTACTGTCATACCCCCATATTCGTGGTTGACTTTCCATGGTTTGAATTACCTGAGGTCAACAGAGGTCTGAAAATATTAAATGGAAAATCCCAGAAATAATTCTTACATTTTAAATTGCATGCTCTTCTGAGTATGGTGATGAAATCTCCCTAAGTCCCACCCAGGACATGAGGCATCCCTTTGTCCATCTTATCCACACTATCCATGCTACCTGCCCTTAGTCATTGACATCATCTGCTCCAGACATCCAGCCATCAACATCGTCATGGCTTGATGATCCAGGATCACCCAAAAAAGATGATCCTTCTTCTGCCGTATCATCAGAAGTTCAATAGTGGCCAAACGCTATGTCACAATACCTATGTATTCACCTCACTTCATCTCATCACATACATGTCATATCATTTCACTGTTACGGCAGGGCTGACTGAGAATAGACCGAGAGACACACTCAGAGATTTTGGCAAAACAGGTTTTATATTTTATGCCGGCCGGCAATTGGCCCAGAGGGGAATTTGGTCTCCCCAAATTCTGAGCACCAGACAAAGAGCATTGCAGTCTTTTATACACTCTGCTTAAGGAGGAGGGGCACAGTTACAACAGGGTTAACTTTAGTGAGGCAGGGTCCTAAGCTACTTTACAGCCTGGTACACTAATTGCTACAGGTGATTTATGAGAGCAAGGTTGCAGGGGAGGAGGGGGCCCAGGTAAGGATCGCAAGGGAGAAAGCCCGGTAGTGGAATTTGTAAGAATGCCACTTTAGTGGAATTTTCCAGTCTTCCACTTCATCATATCATTAGTAAAAGAAGGGCAAGTACGATAAGATATTTTGAGCAGCGACAGAAAGACTACATTCATATAACTTTTATTACAGTATATTATAACTCTATTTTACTATTAGTTATTATTGCTAATCTTTTAATGTGCCTAATTTATAAATTAAATTTCTTCTTTTTTTATGGTAAATGTTATGCAGCAATAACACAATATAAATTCAATTTCATCAAGGGTTTGTATATGTAGAGAAAAACATAGTATACATAGGTTTGTTATTAGATTAATATAAGGTTTCAGGCATCCACTGGGGGTCTTGGAACATATCCCTTGTGGATATGGGGGGGACTGTACTCAATCATTTATTTCTGTGAGTATGGTCTCATGGATATTTATTTTATACTTTGGGTTATAATTCAGTACTACTTTATTTTGTTGTCTAAATTGTTCCAGCTTTGGTCATTGGGAGCTCTTTCAGTTGGCTCCTAGGTCTCTTTGACAGCCCCATCAATGTGGGGTTTTTTTTAAGCACTTATACTACTGCTGCCACTAGGATCTGTTTCTGCTCACAGTACTTCTGACACTAGATATGTGGGTTTTCCACACCAAACAATTCTCAAGTTTTCTGTGGAATCCAACTGGGTGTCCTACAATTTAACTCAATTCTGACACCAACTACCTGTAGTTAGTGCAGACCCACAAGTTAAGGGCTCAGTCCCACCAGACTGCTCCCCGTGGAAGTACACTATTTGCCAGTCGAAAGTAGTAGATCACAGCTGGGCGTGGTGGCATGTGCCTGTAATCCCAGCCACTCGGGAAGCTAAGACAGGAGGATCATTTGAGCCCAGGAGTTCAAGGCTGCAGTGTACTATAATCATGCCTGTGAATAGCCACTGTACTCCAGCCTAGGTGACAGATGAGACCCTGTCTCTGAAAAAAAAAAAAAAAAAGATGAAGAAATAGGCTAGTGGGAGGCAGGGTCTGTTTGGTCAGCATTTGGTTGTTACGTGCTTTTTAAACTCTTACATTAACAGCTCCAAATTTCTGGAAAATCATGTAGAGATCTTGACATTTATTTAAAATCAGTAAACAAATATTCATAAGGAAACTATATTTTTTCTTGACATTCAATACCTTTCAAGTTATTTTTATGTGGTTTGAGCCTTTTAAAAAGAGGTTTTTTTGGGTTTTCATAGTATAGAAATTAAAGCTGTTAAAATAGACTTTCTGGACTGATTAATTAAAAAAGAAATCAGTTGGTTTCTAGAAGGCCTTTAACATTTTGTGCCCGTATGTGTTTTAAACCACACCAAAAACCATAGAAGGAATAGCCAGAAACTGCAATAAACTTTCTTCTAAACTATAAAATGCAGATGACAGACATCTTTTTATAGACATATCTGTGATTGTACACTGTTTTTAGGCTTGATAACTTTTTCAGCAAGGAAAACCTTTCCTTCAAATTTGTAAAAGCTGTTTACAGTAAAATAGCCAACTATGAGAAGACTATGAGAAGACTATGAGAAACCCACCTGCTCATTATAAAGCTAAGTTGGACCACTTTTTCCTTAAAGTATAGACAACAGGAGCAGTAGAATACAATTAAGTATATGTTTAGTGAGGAAAAGTTCTTTTATACTACCTCAAAAATAATTTTTCAAACCTTGAATTCTTTATAAAATTGAGAAAGTGATGAGTTCAGGTGAGAGAGAAAAGGGAAAGGAAAATTAATCCTATTTAGCAAAACTTGTTAAACAACTAGGATTGCAGAAGCAGAAGAATGAATTTGACATAGTCCCTGTATTAACTATTACTGTGTAACAAATCACCCTCAAACCTAGCAGCTTAAAACCACAAATTTTTATTATCTCCCATAATTTCAGGATATAGCTTTATTTGTTGATTCTGGCTCAGGGTCTCTCACAAGTCTGGGGTTCGCTCACATGGCTATTGGCAGGGAGCCTTGGTTCCTTACTGGTTGTTGGCGAGAGGCCTCAGTTTCTTGACACATGGCCACTTGAGCGTTGTCACAACATTGCATCTGGTATCTCACAAAGTGAGAGAGAGAGAGAGAGAGAGAAATCAAGACAGAAGCCACAGTATCTTTTATAACTTAATCTCAGAAATGTCAAACTATTACTTTTGCCGTATCCTATTGGTGACATAAACTAACCGTGGTATAATATTGGAGAGGACTACACAGTGGTGTGAATACCAAGAGGTGGGGGTCATTGAGAGCCATCTTGGAGACTGGCTACCACAGTCGGCCCTTTGGTGTCCAATGATTCACATCCCTCCCACATGTAGAATACACTCACCCTCTCCCAAGGCCCACCATAATGGGCTTTCCATCTCTTCACGGCATCAGCTCAAAATCCAAAATGTCATATCTAAATCAAGCCCAGGTGTAGATGAGGTTCCTTGGCTATAGTTACTTAAGTATAGCTCCTTGAATACAGCTTCTCTCGATCTGTAGACCTGTGAACTAAAGGGACGTTATTTGCCCCTTACCATCCAACGTACAATGGCAAAGGGTAACATCCATAGACATTTCCATTTAAAAAGAGGGTGTCTTAGTTTTATTTTGTGCTACTATAACAGATTACCACAGACTAGGTAATTTATAAAGTACAGGAATTTATTTCTCACAGTTCTTCTAGAGGCTGGAAAGTTCAAGATTAAGGGGTTGGTACATGGTGAGGGCCTTCTTGCTGCATCATAACATGGCAGAAGGCATGATGTGGGGGAAGAAGGGGGCTGAATTCTTCCTTTATAAGCAACACAGTCCGGCTATAACATACTCCTGAGATAATGGCATAAATCCATTCACGAGGGCAGAGCCTGAGGCAGGAGGATCGCTTGAGCCCAGGAGTTTGAAGTTGCAGTGAGCTATGATGACGCCACTGCACTCTAGCTTGGGGGACCAAGTGACACTCTGTCTCAAAAAAAAAAAAAGAAAACAAAAAGATTTCTAGTTTGGTTATTGAAATTTTGTTTTGAATTCAAAATTAAAGGAAAATAATTTTTATTTACTTTGTCTTTTGTAGAGGCTGTAGTAGCAGAATTTCACAAAAAAATCAAAGAAGCATTTGAAGTGTTTGACCATGATTCGAATAATACAGTGGATGTGAGGTTTGGAAATACTTTTTTGTTACAATTCTAAATTACTGATACAACTCATAAAATAGAAGAGGGCTCTTTTCTCTTATACTGTACTTCAGATTTATTATGCTATTTAGAGTATTTATTTTCCTGTGCTCTGTAAAAATCTTTGCTAACTATTGCTTCAGATAAATACTGTTTCTTATCCTTCATAGTCTGGTGGAAAGAATATACTGTAATTGTATTGCCCATTCCAACCTATAGATTATAAACTCTGTGAGTGAGATGAACTCTACTATAGCTGTAGTGCTTGGCACATAGTTGGCATTCAGTAAATATTTGTCGAGTGAATGAGTACAATTTGCATTTTAAAAAATATAAATACGGGCCTGGCGCGGTGGCTCACGCCTGTAATCCTAGCTCTCTGGGAGGCCGAGGCGGGCGGATTGTTTGAGTTCAGGAGTTCGAAACCAGCCTGAGCAAGAGCGAGACCCCGTCTCTACTAAATATAGAAAGAAATTAATTGGACAGCTAAACATATATAGAAAAAATTAGCCGGGCATGGTGGCGCATGCCTGTAGTCCCAGCTACTCGGGAGGCTGAGGCAGGAGGATCGCTTGAGCCCAGGATCTGAGGTTGCTGTGAGCTAGGCTGACGCCACAGCACTCTAGCCCGGGCAAAAGAGTGAGACTCTGTCTCAAAAAAAAAAAAAAAAGGCAAAAGGTGTAGAGGAGATTAGAGTCTATAGGAATTGTAGGATCTGTGCCCCACAGATCAAAGAAATGAAACCATTCTTCTAGGAGGCCAGGCTAAATGAAGATTATTTGATAGGATTACAATCTCGAGACTAGGTATCTAGTATAGAGGTCAGCAGAGCAGTGGGAAGTGATTTAAAAATGGCACCGGAAGCCAGGCGTGGTGAAACATGCTTGTAGTCCCAGCTACTCAGGAGGCTGAGGCGGGAGGATCACTTGAGCCCAGGAGTTCGAGGCCGACCTGGGCAATATAGTGAGACTCCATCTCTTAAAAAAAAAAAAAAAGAAAGAAAAAAGAAAGAAATTGTAGTGGAAAGGAATTGTTTGATGCTTATAAACCAGTACCATCACTTCCCGACTAGTCAGGGGATAAAATGCTTTAAACTTGAGCAAAACTGAATGAACAATAAAAGACTTTATTCATGACAAGTTGTAACTATTAACATATGTATTCCTTAGTTCCTCATGCCTAAAGGTACAAGACTGATAAGTACAATTGGTTTTATTACCTTATAGTGTTAGTCACACCTTATAAAGTTTTATTTTATACCTCAACTGTGTTTATGGGCCGTACTGCAGTGGTGAAGGTGGACAATGGAGTTAAGTTCATCCTTCCAGCACCTTCATTGTAGTAGGCCTTATGTGAGCCTTGGCTCAGCCTTTGCCGAGGAAGAGTGAGGGTAACATGCCCGGCTGCAGCACTGCACAGCTCTAAGCGGCTCTGGTCACGTTGCATACAGTGGGAATGACACTGTGTGGAGCAGAGGCCTCACTGGGAGTATCCTAGCAGGAAGATGAGTGGGTGGGGTGCGGGGGTGGTGGTGATAAAGTCTGGGAGCCAGTGCAGAGCATGCAGCTCTGGCCCAGAATTCGAATGACTAAATATATGAATGTCATCGGTAAAGTGGGAATAGCAACAAGAAAAAGAAAAAAAGTATATGAATGGCAAGTGTCTTGACCTCAGACTTCTCATTGAAGGGTCGTTCTCCCGGGGGCAGGGGAGAGAAGTGTGATTAGAGAAGTCCGGGAAAGTATGGCTTTATGAGACAGGAGGGGAAAGAGAAAAAAGCAGGCAGCATTTACTTAAGGCTCACTATCTGACAAACTACCTGTGGTTGGGTGCTTGGGGCCCTGTGTTTGCTTCCTCATCTTAATCTTATTTGTGTGGTAAGGGTTGGCATCTCCAGTTTCTGGAGATAAGGAGAAGGTAATAGTTTGCTCCATGTCATATCAGGGTTTTTCTTTTCTTTTTTTTTTTTTTTTGAGACAGAGTCTCACTCTGTTGCTCGGGCTAGAGTGCCATGGCGTCAGCCTAGCTCACAGCAACCTCAAACTCCTGGGCTCAAGCGATCCTCCTGCCTCAGCCTCCGAGTAGCTGGGACTACAGGCATGCGCCACCATGCCCGGCTAATTTTTTCTATATATTTTTAGTTATCCGATTAATTTCTTTCTATTTTTAGTAGAGAGGAGGTCTCGCTCTTGCTCAGGCTGATTTCGAGCTCCTGAGCTCAGACAATCCGCCCGCCTCGGCCTCCCAGAGTGCTAGGATTACAGGCGTGAGCAGTGGGCCAGGGTTTTTCTAATTCCAAATCTTTTGTTGTGCTACAGTGCCCACCCTCCCCACCCTAATCCTTCAAGGACATCTTCTGCCTTTAGGCTTCCTGACAGTAGAAGTGAAAAGAAAATCTCCCAAATCCCTTAGAGCAGTGATGCCAGGCCTTTTTTGGTAAAAGGGCCAATTCAGGAAAAATAAACATGTTTATGGGATGCATCTTTTTTCCATTCAAAATTAAAATAACTTTACCGAGGCCCTGAGGGAAAGTGTATGTTCTTACAGCTTAAATGGTCTACTTTATTAAATAAATATGGTTACTAAGAAAATTAACATTATTTTTAGCATTAAAATATTGACACTAAGCATGTTTGAGGAGTAGCAGAATGGACGAATGTGGTTTTTAAATCTGTATTCTCTATATTAATTTGTATAGCACTTTAAAGTTTATGAGTGTTTCAAGCTGCTGGTATCATTACCATCCACTCTATAAATTGGAAATTAAGGACAGAAAAGTGAAAACACTTGCCCAAGATTGTATAGTGCGTTAGCAGCGAAGCTGTAACTCAAATGAATTTCTTCTTTTGGGGCAGGATGTGTACCCTGTGTTTCCAGGGGAGGCTCTGGAAATGCAATGAGTGAGATCTGGTCCTGCCTTTCTCGGCCTCAGCTCTGTCTCCATTTGTAAAAGTGGTTATTCTATCTGGAATTTATTTTGGTTTATTATTAAAAGTAAAGGTCTAAATAGACTTTTTTCCCCCAAATTACTAAAGAGTTTATTTACTTATTTTTTGAATAATTAGGCTTTCTTTATAATGTGTTACATTTTATATAGCAGGATCTAATCAGGGTTGTATTCTGATGTATTGCTTTACCTTGCCGTCTTATACTAGTTTAGTACTATATTAACTGCTGTCAATTTATAAAGTGTTTTAATATCTGACAGAACTAGTTTCTTTATTATTCTTCTTTTTAAACATTTTAATTAAGGACTGAATGAAGCATTCTGTGTAAAGACTGAGTGGTGTACGTAAAAAGGAATGAAATCCTGTCATTCATGGCGACATGGATGAGCCTGGAGGACATGACAGTGAGTGAAATAACTCAAGCGCAGAAAGATAAATGCCACATGTTCTCACTCATATGTGGGAGCCAAAAAGAATTTGAGCTCATGGAAATAGAGAATGGAATTGCGGGTATCAGAGGCTGGGAAAGGTATGAGGGAGAAGGGAGGATAGAGAAAGGTTAATTAACAGATATAAAATTATTCATACAAGTAGATAGGAGGAATGAGTTCTGGCATTCTGTAGCACTGTCGGGTGAATACGGTTAACTATACTGCATATTTTCAAAAAGCTAGAAGAGAGGATTTTGAATGTTCACAAGACAAACAAATGATGAATGTGTGCGATGATGGATATGCTAATTACCCTGATTTGATCATATACATGTATTGAAATATCACTCTGGATCCCATAAATATGTACAATTATTACGTGTCAACTCAAAATAAAAGGAAAAAACAAAAGGTTGAGTGGTGTAAAGCAGTGTCTCTGAATGGAGTGAGTGTGCCAGAGAGGTATATAGGGCATGGTGTGGGCAGGGAAGAGAGCTGCGCAGTGAGAAGCTCCAAGGCATTGGCTGTTCCTCCCCAGTGTGCTTCATCCTGCAGGTGGAGGTATGGTGTTACCTCCCTTGTAGGATCCCCTTAGAGGTCAAGGTCTTAAGAGTTTTGTGGTGGCTACTCTCCCTTCCCCATATCTCTGTTTTGCACAAGTTGAAAGATTTAATTTGAAAATTTGTCACATTAGATAGAGGGGAGGTCTGGTATGGTGACTGCTGGGCAGCCACCGGCAGGTTGCACACCACTGTCTGGAACCTGAAATGGGCTCCTGCTTTCCTCGGACCTCTGAGGAGCAGGCCTGAGGTCTGGAGCTAGACTTCCTGGGTTCCAGTCCCAGCTCTGTGACGCCGAATAACTTATTTCTTCTCTTTGTGCCTCCAGTTTTACATTTGCCTCATCGGATTGGTAGTGTAAGTAGTTCTCAAAGTGTGATTTGGAGACCCCTGTGTGTCCCCAAGACCTTTTCAGGGGATCTGTGAAGTCAAAACTATTTTCTTTCTTGTCTTGTCTCGTCTCGACTCCTCTCTTCCCTCCCCTCCCCTCCCCTCCCCTTCCTCTCTCCCTTCCTTTTCTTTCTCTCTTTCTTTCTTTCTTCCTTGCTTCTTTTCCTTCCTTTCCTTTCCTTCTTTTCTTTCTTGACAGGGTCTTACTCTGTCTCTCAGGCTGGAGTGCAGTAGCCTCATCATAGCTCATAGCAACCTGGAACTCCTGGGCTCAAGGGATCCTCCTGCCTCAGCCTCCCAAGTAGCTGGGACTATAAGTGTGCACCACCATGCCCAGCTAATTTTTCTGTTTTTTGTAGAGATGGGGTCTTGCTCTTGCTCAGGCTGGTCTCAAACTCCTGGTCTCGTCATCCTGCCTTGGCCTCCCAGAGTGCTGGGATTCTGGATGTGAGCCACCGTGCCTGGCCTATTTTCATAGTAAATCTAAGACGGTATTGGCTATTTTTGTTCTCATTTTTTCTAGGAGTGTATATTGGAGTTTTTCAAAGTCTGCATGATGTGCAATATTACAACAGATTGAATGCAGAACTAGAAATGAGAATTCAGCTATCTTCTACTAAGCCAGAAACTACAGACATTTGTAAATATGTCAAACA